TGCACGTTAGGGTGGTCCATTTTGGAAAAGTTTGTCGGATTCGTCGGGCCGGGTCGGAAATCTTGTCGATACTATGACACAAGGATGTGTGCAAAATTTTATTCCGATCGGATAATTTTATCCCGTCCCGCAGAGCGACCAAATTTTCCCCTATGGAAAGAATGTTATGGGGCTGCATGGTAGTACGGTTTCTCCCGTACAGTAAGGATTTTGTTTTGCTCAGTTCGCACTTGCAATAATTCAAAGACGGAAGACAGGAACGCATGTATTGCAACAAAGGCAACCGTGGTTATCCTTCAACACTGGTGAGATTGTTGGTCCATGTTAACTGGTCCATCTGTCTATCTGTCCATCTGTCTATAATGTCCATCAACACTAGTGACACTGTTAGACCGCCAAAAAAACGAAATCCGCCGTGCGTGCCATCCCATGCCTACTTCGCGCACGGGTGCAACGCCCGGTGTCGCTCCACGACCTGCAGAAGGTGCTGTCGCTGTTCCTCGTCGCGCGTAATGGCGCCGCAGAACGCGCTGATGAGGGCGACGCCCCTCTCCGCAAAGTCGTTCACCACCCGTAGGTGACGAGCGCGCCGACGAGCCGTGGTGAGCTTCGGGCTGCCCAACAAGCCACACTTCGGTGGCTGAGCGTGAGCGTCTTGCAGTTGCAGCGGCCATGCTGAACGCAGGGACAGCCACGACTAACGCAATACGCAACGCTTCTCCTGGCCCAGCAGGAACTGCCGATCCTCGTGCTCTTTTTTTTTTTTTTTTTTCGATGTCGAAAAGCGTCCTCAGCTCAGCGTCCAGTAAGAATTCCGGCGATTCTCGACTTCAATTGAAAGATATTAGCTCGCCAGTAGGTGACCGTTGTGTGTTAGGCGTGCGTTTGAGTTTGTCTCCGGCTGCTGAGAGCAGCGATGGAATGGTTAGTTAGTCAGGAGGTGATCGTTCGGGCAACATTCAGCCCAGCCAGTGTCACGCATGGCAAAATACACGGTTAAAATACACATGTTCACCCTATTGAGACCAGTTGTTATGGTGGAAACTTTGGCCGCTTTGCGGGACGGGAAAATATCATCAGATCGGAATGAAATTTTGCACAGAACCTTGTACCATAGTATCGACAAGAATTCCGACCCGGCCCGACGAATCCGACAAACTTTTTTTTTTTGCCATGAAAATGTGGACCACCCTACTGGTCAGTCATAACCAAGTCTTGTTGCATGAACTGATAAGCCTTCTCAGATGAGAGGTGAAACGTCTTGACAACCAGAGCAGTCCAGTTGTGATCGATCCAATGCCCTCTGAAAGAAATGACCTGGATGAATGAGAATATCCACCAGCGTACATGTAATATTGGAATGAAAGTACATCTTTCTCACACCCACTGGTTACCAGTAAATGTCTGTACAATGTGACAAATTCTCGTAATTTTATGAGTACTTGTATATATTACTCCCCTTGATTTTGTATGGGGGCGGGGGGGAATGCATTTTATTCTCGAAATTACAATATGCATTTTGATTCCACAAAATGAAAAGGCAATGATTTGTGTATTGTGTCATCCTTGACTCTGATAAGATTTGCTGGCTTTTTGCTTCATTATAGGAATGAAGTCAATGAAGGAAAGACTTACATTGCCTGCTGCTGTTGCAGAAAATCAAGCAGGTAAAAAATATGAAGTGGACAAGACATTATCTTCTCCTTTGGCTCTGTTCTGTTATGTATTCAGAGATTTCATGAACCAAAGAGATAGATAAACCTCTTTCTCCTGCGCCCTTTTTATTTTCCATTTAAGATAATGCAGTCGTAAGCATCATTTGGGTGTAACTTCACACTGGACTAAAGCAAACACACAACTTGGCTTTTTTCCCCCTCCAACTAGTTCTGATTGAGCTGTAGGAAATTCCCTGCCATCCATGACTTAATATCTGAAATACAATTTAAAAGAGTATCAATAGGTCCTGTGTTGTCGGGAGGCACGGCAATATACATTTGTGTTATCATCAGCGTAGCTGTGGAAGCTGATGCCGTGTCTCCTGATGACATCCCCGAGGGGAAGCATGTAAATATTAAAAAGTATTGGGCCTAAAATTGAGCCTTGGGGAACCCTACATATAAACAATTGTACTGCTTGCAATTATTTACAATATACATATTTTCTTGTACACGTGGCACTTTTTTTCATAGTTGATCTGGTCCTCCAACTTACTAAGGTGTGACTTCTCTATATTAAAATTAGAGCTCAGACTCATACCCAAAACCCTGTTCTGATTTAATTTGAAATTTCCACTTGTCACTAATGAAAAGTTATTATTCTTCGTTTAAAATAGCTTACATTAGGTAGAATCCCATGTTGCATTGTGGCTAAAGGTAGAAAGAATGGTCGATATAGAATAAGGATGGATGGATGTTTATTTTTATCATTTTGCTTGTCACTGGTGCACATCTGTATTGAATAATGCTGAGTGTGTTTCCCAATATTTTGATGTCATGATGAGCTAATCAAGCCCCTACTCCCGATGTCCTGAATATTTTGTCCAGACATTGTATGCTAGCCATCTAAGTTTGTGTTGTGGTAGTGTGGTCATCTTTGAGGGGCGTGAATTTTGGGGCCTTTATGCTGATAAGGTTGATTACCCCTGAAGGCCGAGTCGAATGTGGTTTTCCTTGTTAAATAATGCTTCATTATATTTGTTTTGTCAACAGAAGAGGGCAGTGCAGTATCAAAGAGCACACCCAAGCAAATTCGCATCAAAACTCTGGAGGAAATAAGAATGGAAAAAGCAGCCAAGTCTCGTAGCCAGAAGGACTGTCTTCCTCCTATGAATACAGAAAACACTGTCACAAAGACAGCACCCATCCAGACACCCAAGGCTGTAAAGCGAACAAGTTATACCAATGATCACTCTATTGACCACAACAAACCCCCCAATGAAATACTCCACGCAAAGAAAAGAAAAGAGGATCAGCAGGAGCAGAACCTCAGTCATAAGAATTTGAAACCAACAGCTGACAAAGTCCCTGGTAAATATCAGCCAGATCCAGTGGTGCCATTCCCTGATTCCCCAAAAGTAGGGGAGGTTAGAGTGAAGACCTTGGAGGAAATCCTCAAGGAGAAGGCAGCCCGAATTCAGTCTGATGAAGTCAAGAGTCCAAACACAGAAGAGAATGGTGCTAAGAAGCCACGGTTGCAGCAAAATGATAAGCTGACCTGTCACGGTAAGATATTTTACAATGTAGACTACACAATAAACACATGTAGTCATTTTACTTTTCATGCATCCTGCCTAATATTTAAAGGCAGCTTGTTGGACTTGTGGTTAGGAGCTCCACCTCAGCGTTCTAAGGTTGGGATTTTGAACCCAGCCTTCCAGTGTGGGCATTCTTTTTCTACTTGGGCTTCCACCCACACTCCAAAAACATGTAAATTAGGCAAATTGAAGACCTCACATTTTAAATATGAATGTGACTGTGACTGGTTGCTGGACTCCAATGTAAGATGCGGTGAAAAAGGGTTTGCCCCCTTCCTGATTTCGGTGTTCTTTGCATTCTTATCAAACACCAAGATTTCAGGTCTTCAAACCAATTTTAATATCACACAGAGACAACCCAAGGAAATACAAAATGTTGTTTCTAAATGCCATTTTAATGTACAGTGGTACCTCTACTTACGAACGTCTCTTCATATGAAATTTTCAAGTTACGAAATGTCTCAACAGGAAAATATTGCTACGATACGAAAGGTAAAACTACATTATGGGTTGCAACTTGCAGCTCCGAGTTTCCTGAACGCAACATACTGCTCTGCCATTGGCTATTACCGAGCATCATCCTGGCATCCCATTGGCTAAGAGGGACCTCTACCGTGCGTGTGTATGTGTGTCAATAGATAAATATGTCTCTGCAGTTTCCTCGTCATAGTTTTACGTAAATGTGAATCCCCAGCAAAAGTGTTCACCAGACGATCGCTCATTCTGCAGATGTTTGCCTGGGACATTTTTGAAGGATTGTTAAAAGCCGACAAAAGCAGATGTCCTTTGCTCAGTTCTTTACAAAACGCCAGGCAAAACCCACTTTTGAGAGCGAACATGAACTTAAAGAGCGCAAAAAAACAATGAGGAAGCAGTTGAAAGTTAAATGAAAATTTTTAACCGTTTAATTTTTTTTTTTTTTAAGCCATTTAGAGGTGGCAAAGACCCCAGAAATCAGGGATGGGGAAAATACTAGTTAACAAGGCTGTATGCGCCCTATGATTGGCTAGTGACCAGATCTATTTTTCTGTCAAAGTTTGCTGGGATTTGCTCCAGCTCACTCACAGCCCTTGTAAGGAGAAGTATAGTAAAGGGACAGATGTATGTGTTTTAAAAAAAAATATATAGTCACATCACAAGACATATTTGTGGAATTCTGCAGGTGACATCACGGCAGAGAAGAATGTTGAGGGGACTAAAAGGACGTGGAAAGCTCCTGAGGTTAGACCTGTGACCACCTGTATTGTTGTGTTTTGATTCATTGCCATTTTTTTGTAACTGTAATTTTGTCATGCCTTTCCAGACAACCTCCATGATTGTCAAAGTCAAAACATTTGAGGAGATTATGCGTGAAAAACATCTGCGCAAACAGGAAATGGCTGGGCAAGCTTCTATCAGCCAGCAGGCCTTTGATGCATCATCTTCACCAAAACCATTAGTTCGTAGTACGCTGAAGAAGAAGATTCTTCCACCACCAGAGTCTTCATCACCTATCTGTAGCACTCCAGATAGGAGCAATGCCCCACCTGCCAAAAATATTCGTCTTCGCAAGCTGAAAACTGTCAAATCTGAGACTGAGTGCCCTCCAAACATCTCTACTCCGGCTCCCATCACAGCTGTGAACTCAGTTCTAGTGAGGAGTTTCACCCCATCGCAGGAAGACACTCTCTTACTAAGTCCGGACAGCTCCACCAAGATCCAGTCTAAAAACACAAAAAGCTTAATTTCACCATCTTCAGCCAAGCAGACAACTCCAGAGAGACTCCGTGCAGCAGTAGAGAGTCCAACTACTGATAGAACTCATACCACAGACAGAAAAGGTACATTGCACTTGCATTTGTTATCATTATTTACGTTGCTTATTCATGTACATGGTTACAGGAAACGCAGACCTTTTTGACATTCTTTACATTAAAGTGTCACCGTTTTCACGGGAGAACCTGATATCAGCATTTGATCAAAGTCTCAAAAACATATATGAACGCCTTGAGTAAAGTTAAATGGGTAGTTTTCAGAAATTAAAAAAAAACACTGTCATGTCAAAACTGTTTATATGAACAGCGTAGAATATTTTACAATTATCCTTTGAAAAATTGTTCCTCTCTAGCCCCATTGTGTGCCTGTAATTTTATTAGCTTCTCAGAGATTGCAGAGACAGAAGTCGTGACCCAGGGATGTGGTCAATCATTTGCTGTGCATGCAGCATCATAGGGGCACACTAAGTCACCTTTTTTGGATTTATAATTGATTGTACATTTCCCAAAATACCACATCAAACATTTTTTTGTTTTGCAGGGCTCCATGAATAAGTCACACGAGCAATATAACAGCCGTGGCTAAGATTGGCTTGTTCACTGCGCGTGATTTTACAATGCACGTGTAGTGCATGTTAGTGAAGGGGCATGGGTTTAGTCAGAGACTCATGGGGAAGAGGGCGGAGTGAAATGGGACTACGTTTGAAATGAGGCGACGTTCAAATCTTGTTCAAAGTTAGACAATTGCAAGCTCCCCTTATAAGTGAAATATAAAAATGTAGATGAAATACCCTTATTTGATTTGCATTGTGTGTCTTTTCCAGTGCGGCCCAAACTGAATGTGAAGCCGTCTGTCATGAAGCCTGCCTTGCAAGTGAATACAGCCCAGAAGCGGAAGAGAGCAGTGCGGTCTGCTGTAGCTGCTGTTAAACCTCTGAACAGCGCCTCCATAGTTTTAGAGGAATCACAACAGGAGACTGACAGTAAGGAGGAGGTAAGCAGTGTCGGGAAAGTTCATTTTCTCCGCCATGTCGTTCAAAATTCAGTTCACAATTTTTTTAATGAATTTGTACATCTCATGGTCCATTCAAAAAAAAAAACAAAACTAAGATCTTCACCCCATACGAAAAAGAATATATGACAAGGAGACACTACCCTCAAAGTACTTGCTTTTCCCCCGTTGCCAGACATTCAGTCCACATTAGTACAAGTAAACAGCTGCAATGTTCACCCCACACTCTCATGTGGAAAAACTTGTTGCTTGAATGTTTTTGGGTTTTTTTTAATGAGGAAGTAAAACAAAAACAGGACTGTAGTGTTTAATGTGCAAGCACAAATATAATCTAAGGTAAGACCCAGAGTGAGGGAGGAAATGAGCTGTCTCTCTCTCACACACACACACACACACACACCAGCCTACTGTAAAAAAAATACACACACCGTTGTTTTACACTTCCATTCCCAACTGTTTGCGAATTATTACAGAACATATTTTCTCTGACCTTGGCTGATATTTACTGCATTGAAGGTGCTGCACCCTCGAGTTTCCTGTAGTCCAAGCACATTGTTGGAACACAAACGCAGCTCAAGTGAGGAGCCACAGATCATCCATCTTTCAAAATGCAGTCCAAGCCAAGAACCCAAGATGGATGTCAGTCTTGCTACTACCATGGAGGCCTGTTCTGCCTCCCGAAGGTACTAGTTCATTGAGATCTTGCAAAACTGAAAATTGTTGTGTCTCCAAAAGCACTGCTATTCATAAAATTAAAAGCTGGTATTATACCTTTAGACTGCTATCATATGCCAACATCAACACACCACCTCCCCAAATTCATGGTCAAACGCTAATGCAATGTGCTAAAAAGTCACTAATGTAATTATGCTGTCATTAAACTAGAATAGCATGAACACATTGCCAATGCCAGCTGTGCCCATGAAATTATGTGGTTGTGCCGAGTCGCCTGACTTGATTACTAACAACTGCGGTTTTGTCATCTTCCCAAATTGCATTTCAAAGGCCTAAGTCAGGGGATCTCAAACACAGGTCCTCAAGGGCCGCTTTCTTGCTTGTTTTCCATCTCTCCCGGCTGCAACACACCTGATTCAAATGATCAGCTCATCAGCAGCCTCTGTAGGCGCCTGATAATACTATACATTTCCCAAAAAATTGACCTGTCAACTGTTAAAATTGACCATTGAAAATGTTCCGCCTGCGTGAGCATCAAGTATAATTGCATATTAACATGGTATTAGCCCTTCAACATCAGATTTTTTTTTTTCTCGAACACAGCTATGAGCCGTTGCTGGCTGGCATTGTTTCTTATTTTGTATACCTGGATGGCTCCACCAATATTGTTTTGGAACTATGGTGAATGACACGTCTGGATGCCACTCTGCTAACATTACATACAGCATGGGAAACATGGAAGTGATCACAGCTAGGCAGGTTTTACTCTATGTGGGTGGGTAAAAAACATGACTGACATGTATACGTATGTGGGTGATCCCACGTGTTTACAACAAACAGACAGATTCGAACATTAAACTACCGTATTTTTCGCACTATAAGGCAGACCTAAAAGGATTCATTTTTCTCAAAAGCCGACAGTCCACTTTACAATCCAATGCGCTTTATATATGGATCAATATTCAGGTTTCTTGGACGTAGTATTTTAAATGTTCTGTACAGCGCTTTATTACAGCTGCAGCGGTTGTGAAAGCGCTATATAAATAGTCGTATTATATTCCCTTTATGGTAGCGCCATCTGGTGGATGCATAACACAACCCCAGCCAGCTTCTATTCCATGTGCCTTATCATGCGGTTTGCCCCTATATGTGAAAACAGTTTTAAAATTGGCCATTCATTGAAGTTGCCCCTTATACTATGAAGTGCCTTATAGTGCGGAAACTATCGTACATTTTTTACATTTACATTTGACTTAAAATGAAAAACAATAGTCTTAAAGGAACATTGTCATCACCTTCCGTAGACATGGAATTACTATCGGTGCATGTAAACTGGGACTTTACAGACAATTGTGAAAAAAGTGGAGAATAATGATTGAAAATATGATTATTTTGTGCTTGTAAATGTCAGTGTTTTGTACACACAAAAGAAATTCTAACGAGTGTATCTCTCCATTAGCTCTGTCCTGAAGACCACTCCTCAAAGTAAATCACGGAGACAAAGTGTGGTCGGGTCACGCAACTCAACATCGGCTGCAGATGACTTCGAAGAGCTCATCAACGAATTCACAGAGGATCATCTCGATGGAGATGTGGACCCTGGCATTGGGGAGGATGATCTACTGCAGGAACTGTCAGACATGATTGGCAGCTGAGGCAATTTTTTCATTAAAGCAAATATCCTAGCCCAGTGCAATCAACAACACCAACATTGTTCAGGTTTACTCAGTGCATTTTTGCTTAAGACCCCTTTACTAAGGATTTATGTTTGTTGTCTTTTTCTGGAATCTTATCCGAAATCAGCATCAACAATACCTGGTAGATTTTAAGTGTTGGAAAAGGCAAACGTGATCAGAGACAAATTGTGTATACTGTGTATGCACTGGGAAAATCTAAATGTATATACATATTAAAAAAAAAAAAAATCCGCTGCTCCTATTGCTTTTAGTTTCTAGCAAACATTGTCACTTTTACTTTCATAGTGACTTTTTTTTAAAAAACTGAATGTCAATTTGATGTCAGTTTTATTTTAATGTTGTAGATCCCATGGAGATCATCATCCTCCTGTGACTTGTTTTTTCTTAATTGTTGTACAGTATATTGTTTATTTCTTAAACCACTACTAGATTTATTCAGTGGGCTTCAATTGAAACGATTAATGGTGACACCTCAGGTAAAGATTTTGTTCGTATACATCTCTAAAAAATATTTAAGCAATAGTCTTTTGTTTTCTTTGAATGCATTGTTTTGAAACGTTGAATGACCAGTGATCACTAACAACTTATCCACGAGTTCACTGTCAAAAGTAATTTCTCCACATGACTGTAAATAAAAAAATGCTTCTATTTAACAAGCTGACTTCTTCGTCACTATTAAGCAAACAATAACAAACCATCTTGTACATTGGGGTTCACCCCAGTGAATGAGATGGGAGCATCCTTTTTTACCTTTGGGTGTCGGGTGTGGTTTCACATTGTTGTTTGTGCCTCTGCACCAAACAGCAGTTCAGAGTATCCACCTTTTTGGCAGAACGTGGAGAGGGGCGCTCGAGAGCGCTCCCGATGGGGAGTCCATCGTTCTGCTGGGAGACTTCAATGTTCAAATGGGCAATAACAGTAAGACCTGGAGGATCAGGACCCAAATTGTATTCTATTAATGAACTTCTGTGTTTGTCACGGAGTGTCCATAATGTTCAGACATAGTGGTATGTCTGCATATGTACGTACCCTAGGCCGCAGTTCGATGATCGATTTAGAGGCTGTGTCAATCGGATTTGCGTTCGCGTGTTTTTTTTGGGTTGAGGTCACCAAGGAGGTTAAAATGTTCCTTGATGGCAAGGCCCTTGGCGTGGATGAGATCCTCATTGAGTTCCCGAAGCCTCTGGATGTTGTGAGCTGTCGTATTTGACACGTCTTTGCATGGATGTTGTGGACAGTGCCTCTGGATTGACAGACTGGGGTGATGGTCCCGATTTTTCAGAAGCGGGAACATGGTGTGTTCCACCTACAGGGTGATCACACTCCTCAGCCTTTCTAGTAATGTATATTCGGGAGTGTTGGAGAGGAGGGGAAGTCAAATCTCGGATTCAGAAAGAGCAGTGTGTTTTTCCATGCTAGCTACACCCTACACTTGGCCCTCAAGGGTACACAAAGTTCACCCAATCAGTCTACATGTGTTGTGGAATTGCAGAAGACATTGACCTTGTCTCTCGGGGGTTCTGGAAGTATCCTTTGGAAGTTTGTGCATGTAGACCTGGCCTACTGCATTGTATACATGTAAATTGAGAGGTTCGTAGTTTTGTAGTGGATAGCTTTACTTTAAAAATGGGCAAAAGGAGAGATGGAATCCTTTGAAGGCAGTTTTTTATTTTCCCAACGTCTGCACCTCCGAACGAACGAACAAGAACACACCTTCCCGGAAACACCAAACACTTCCTGGTTTCCTTAACCAATCATATAATATCAACATAAACTTGTTTAAGCAATTATTAAACGAAATATAACCTAGGTAACTGTCACACAAAAGAACATAATACTCAAATATAAAATGAAAACAATTATTTAACATAAGCTTACATTCTTCCCCCTCCCACCAGAGAAATGTCCTCATTTCTACTTTGATCACTTAACTGTAGAATCCAGGTTACAACAAATTAACAACATTGCACAGGGGGGTAAAAAAAAAGGGCATCAGGAACATACAATCAAATCAGAACTAAGTCTTTGAAACAAGACGAAAGCTTAACTTCACTGCGGCCTGGGCGTGTGATGGAATTGGAACTTAAGGCCATTGCTGCAGGCATTTGGTCCGCAACAGCAGATCTTTTGGATTGATGAGGTTGCAGTCACTGTCTTCCTAGGTGCTCTCTGATGTGGAGCAGGATTGCGTCGAGCATCACATGGCACAAACTTCTTGCACCACTCACGAATATCTCGAGACATGAATGGCCAGTAGCACAGGACCTGAGTACGCTGCAGAAGCTTCTCTGCTGACAAATGGCCTGCCACGGGATTACCATGGAGCAGCTTGAAGACATCTTCCTGTAACTCTTGGGGTATGATAACCTGGTAGACAGCTGACTTGGATTTCGGGTTATGGATTTTCCGACAGAGTAGCTCTTGGTGAAAGGTGAGCCTTCTGTATTCGTGCCAAAGTGACTTCTCTGCAGCGGGTCTGTTCTTCATCCTCCAGTGAGGGGGTTTGTAGCCTTTGGTTTTCCAACTCATGACCTCTGCCAGGATCGGGTCATGCTCCTGTTTCTCCTGCAGTTCTAATCCACTGGTGGAAAGCTGGAAAGCAGGTGAGGAGGATCCTTGGGACTGTTTTGGAACCGGCTGATGGGGTTCTGGTTTGGGATGATAATCAGTGGTCCACACATAGTTGGGTATGCTGTGGTTCACCTTAATGGGCCTTGTAGCGACATGAGAAGGCAGCCTGACATCAGGAGTGGTGTCAGTGGTGTCAGATGGACTTGGCACTTCTGAACGCCTTGGCAATGAGTCTGCATTCTGACACTGATGTTCTTCTCTGCGGATCACAGTCCAGTCGAATGGATCCTGTGATGTATTATCAGCAGCATGATGGTGTCTTGTATCCTCCTGAGAGTTCCCGCTGCATCTACTTGGGGAATGGCGGTGGTGGCGGTCATCATCAGAGATCCAACTCTGTAGGTTATTCATTTTAAGTGTCAGTTGTTCGATGGCTTTTAGAAGTTTATCAGAAGCAGCATCAGGACATGTCATTGACACCTGCTCCTTAGTCTGCATAGGTGGGTATGAAGCATGAAGGTTCAGTGCTGTACGTGCTCTTTCACAGCGTCCAGCAACAACGAGGGCTTCAGCAAGGTCTGTCGCGCCCATCTCGTGGATCTTTACTTGCAGGGCAGGGTCCAAACCAGCCACGAAGCGACGAAACTTCTCTCCTTCCTGCGCTACACGGCCGTAGTCAGGGAAGGCTTCCATAACGAGGCGCGTGATGTCAGCACTGTACACCTCAAGGCTCTCATCGGGCTTGCGGGGACGAGCATTGACATGGGTTTGGAAAAATGTCAGGGAGTGGTTAAGACCAAAAACATCCTGGAGTCTCTTCTTGACAGCCCGGTAGTCCTCCTTGACTGTGGGGGAAAGGCTATCCCAGTCCAGAAATGCAGCCTCAGCTAAACTTGTTGGTTAAACTGAAGCCAGCACAGATGACAGGTCAGCGGATGGTTGGTTGTACATGGCTTGCACATATAAAAGTGTTGTAAATTAAACAAAGCCTGTCTGGGGACAATTTTACTGAAAGAGGACAATACTTTAATTAAATAGCCTATAAAGTGCTGTAAATGTAACAACTGGGGACACCTTTGATTGAAGAGGAAGAAAAAAAACAAAAACTTATGTGCATGCATGTTGAAGTCTGGATAGACTGAACTAGGATTTTATAAGCGCCTTTCAAAACACCCAAGGACACTTTACAATCAGGAACAAGAACAATAAAACACAGTGCGGGTGAGCAGTGGCAGCCAAACGCGCCAGCGTTCGCTCAACCCGGAAGTCAGAAATACAGTACTGTACTGTATTACATGCATATACCTTAGAGTGCTGTAACAAAGCCCGTCTAGGGATCCTTTTACTATAATAAAGATACGGGTAACTATAACAAAATTTAACACTTGTGTGAACCCAAATGAAAAGATGAAAAAATGGGGAGAAGTGCAAAACAATCAGGCATTCTTATTTTTTTTATTATTGTTCAGTTTGGTGTTCACGTTTGTGTGTGACAGACGCATGGGACAATTAGGAAAAATACTGAGCAAACCGTGAGTCGCTGATAGTGTAGTCGGACACTCCTGACTTGTGTGCGGGCAGCGTGGAATCGGTTCCCTCTTCGTGATGGTGTGAATGTGGGTGTGTATGGTTGTTTGTCACGATATGTGCCCTGTGACTGACTAGTAACCAGTTCAGGGTGTCTCCCGCCTCCTGCTCAAAGACAGCTGGGATAGGCTCCAGCAATTCCCACGACCCTGTGCAGGATAGCGGTGTTGAAAATGGATGGATGGCTGGATGGATCGATGGAACAAACCGCATCCCGTATTGTTTCAATACGGGACACAACATTTAATTCCCAATTAAAAGCCGATTCCGTATTTTACGGGACGGGTGACAACCTTATGTACGCCAATGTATGGACCACTTGCCGTCCCGTCAGATGGAATGCACTAATGACTTTGCCCCTCCACTTGCCTTCCCGCGAGATGGAATGCACTAATGACTTTGCCCCTCCTAGCTTACCATCGCCATGGGCACGGAGCTCAATGGTGGGGCGTGTCTTATCCACTCATGTCTGTGATTGAACCACGTTCGTGTACTGAACCATATGCATTTATTTTTCTAGCTATCTGTCTCGCTATCTATCCATCTAGATGGCTGGCTGGCTGGTTATCAAAATATTAAGTCCATGAACTTAAGGCTGACGCCAGCAGGCTTTTACTTCCGGTGCTGTGTTTGCAAGGCTTCAAAATTGTGCTCCTATTTTCTGTCTTCAGTGCTTTTATTTTATTAGATCCCTGGAAATGTTGATCATAGCTTTTCATTTTTGTTTGTATTTTTTATGTATGCTGTTGACAGAAAAAAAAGTTAAATGTTAACAACAACAAAAAGAGGGGTGGGGGTTCACTTCCGGTTCAGCAGACGTAAACAGAGAGGCGCTCCTCAACGGAGAGCTGGAGACAACATGACCAAGCTGGAGCTGTTGAACGTGTTTCTGAACGACAGAATGACAGCGGCTGCTGAGGAGATTTTCCGAGCCGTCAAAGACACCTTTGTTGAATATCAGAGTGAAATTCACCGCTCTAAAGAAGAAAACGAGCGTCTGAAACGGCTACTCAATGTCGCCGTCCAACGACTATTGCTGCAACCAGGACCAGGTAAGGACGAAAGGTGTCCGCTGTTTTTGACGTATCACGTCACATCGCATGTGATGTTTTATTTTATCTTATTTCATTTGGCGAGGGTATCCGAGATTCAGCCCCTGCTCAAACGTTTAGCAATTACACTGAAACAGTAAAAAAATAAACAAATACTGTACATTACTATAAACTCAAATCGGTTTCATCAGTCCACAGGTTTTCTCTTAACAAACACAACGAGAGGCTGATACTGATGAAAATACAAATCTTTATTACAAAGAAAACAAGTAGAATGTGGACATAGCAATGTGCAAAAACGCAGAATAGGGTAACCGTATCGATGAAGACCTATCATGCATAAAAAAATAGTTGATGTCTGGTTAATTATAATCTTCACAGCAAACAGTAGTAATGATGACTAAAAAGGATAATCACATCAATACATACACTCAAAACCAACAAGGTCGGATAACGAAGCGCGTCTCAAATAATACATTCCAATATTTCACCTTGCCTCTGATGTGCTGTCCAACTCACCAATCAAAATAAAACTTTACTTAAAAAAATAATAATGCAATTAACCATTACAAATGACTATAGGAGAAAAAAAGGAACACAAAGGCTAATCAAATCTAGTCATGGGGGGGGGGGGGGGGGGGCGCTGTGACATACTATACTTGAAAAACACATTCGGCAAGTTGCAGAATGTTTTACTCAAAACTGTCAACAGAACTGGCTAGACCAGGGGTGTCAAACTCATTTCACATGGTGGGCCAAATACGGCCTCGGTAGATGTCAAGTGGGCCGGACCATTAAAATGATACCATACTTTGCTATAAATAACAAAAACAACATGTCTTCCCTTTGTTTTAGTATAAAGAAGCACAAGAACATGAGGAAAATGTTGAAATTTAATGAACATATCTTTTACAAAACAGTTCAGGAAGCACCTTACATTTCCTTCGACAAATGTGCAATTTACATTTATCATTCACAAATATGCATTGCAACTGATCCCACTGATTGTACAAACTTTAACAAGTAATTGGTATTGAAAAATATAGTAATGCACTTTAAGATTAAACGAGATTTATAAAGAAAGGACGTTTTAAACCATTTACACGTGCATATAAAATCTAAATGTAATCGCTGCCTACACCTTACAAGCTAAGGAGAGTGCTATTAAATGTGTAAATGTGAGAGTGCGATTGATAGCGTCTGCTGTCATGGGTCTGTCTCAGTGACGGACTGAGGCTGCTGTTGTCTTCTTCTCTGATCAAAACAGTGTCCCCTTGCGGATACTCAATGAATTGCACCTTATTAAAAAATATTAATTCTGTGTCTTTTATGCATTTTTTTCACTTTTAAATTATCCTGCGGGCCTGATTGAACCTCCTTGCGGGCCGTATGTTTGACACCACTGGGCTAGACCTTTTAAAAATTCACCCTCAAGGTTCATACCTTGCTTCTAAGGGGATAACAGATGACGGTAAGCTCAAATAACACATGTTGTTATTTGATGACACAAAAGGTGGCATTTAACTTTGTATGACATTGCCGGAGGTAGAAAAGAGGGTTCACGTCATAGTGCCTTTATACAACATCCTCCAAACTACTGCTTACTGAGTGATCTCTGAGGAAACCACTGCATTAACCAACTTAACTGTGCATTTCATACACTCATGCTACCCATCCAAAACAATCCCTCGTATCTGCACCCATCGCACATCTGAGTTAATCACCAGACCCTGGAAGGGAGAAAGAGGGACAGCGCCACTTCCATGTCACCTTTAAAGTTTTTTTCTTTGGTCCTCAATGTCCTACAGCTCTCAAAATATTCCCCCAGTGGTCACCTCTATGAAATTTCACCACTGCCAGTCCGGCCTCAACCGTGTTTCAAGTGTTGAATAGTTTGCATTGTGGTTCTCCCATGAATTCGTAAGTAGCGTAGCAAATGTTTCAAGGTCAAGTCTCAAGTAAATTTGGCCAACCATCTTTTAAGTAATACTTTGGGCTAAAACCATTTCAAGCATACTTTCGTTAGTTTTTTTAACACAACCCACCATGGTTCATAGTTAGACCCATAGCAACGCGCTTAACAATGAAAATGCTTTTTGTTCGGCAATCCCCGGCGAGTGACGTCATTTACCGAATGCCGAGTTGTCAGTTAGCCACTGCATTGTTGATTGTCCCCTGAACTGCTCTTTGCCATTGTCATTGAGTTATTTGGCAAAATGCACTGTTCACATTCAGGCAAACAGTTGTTTGAGTGGCCAAAAGAAAAAAAATAGGGGACGTCAATGGACCAGAAAATTTGAACTATAGTTTCATTTTCGGATACAAGCGGCTGAAATGAGTTTTCTCCGCAGGGTGTCCGGGCTCTCCCTTAGAGATAAGGTGAGAAGCTCGGTCATCCGGGAGGGGCTCAGAGTAGAGCCGCTTCTCCTCCACATCGAGAGGAGCCAGATGAGGTGGCTCGGGCATCTAATTAGGATGCCTCCTGGACGCCTCCCTGGTGAGGTGTTCCGGGCATGTCCCACTGGCAGGAGACCCCGGGGACGACCCAGGACACGCTGGAGAGACTATGTCACCCAGCTGGCCTGGGAACGCCTCGGGATCCGCCAGGAAGAGCTCGAAGAAGTGGCTGGGGAGAGGGAAGTCTGGGCTTCCCTGCTAAAGCTGCTGCCCCCGCGACCCGGCCCCGGATGAGCGGTAGAAGATGGATGGATGGATGGATGGATTTAATTTCACACCAGTATTGATGAAAATTCTTTGTTGAGAGGCATGGAGAAGGTCCCTGTTTTCTCCACTGTTTTGCTTATGATAAAGGATTTGCCAAAGAGGTAGGGGTGATCATCAATGAATAACTGTTGTTGTTGAAAACATTCGATGTGAGGCAATTTCGGGATACCAAATTAGTCAAAATAAATCTTAGGCAATGATGATGATGGTTAAAAGAAATCGGCCAGTAAAATTAAATACAGAATTTTCATTTTGAAGGTGTAAACAAGAATTTCGCTATTTGGGAATTGTTGTCACTCACCATCCTATGCAATTGTTCAATGATGTTAAGTTGACTACACAAATAAGAAGTGACCTGGCACGCTGGGAGGTCGTACCTCTTTCTTTGTTTGTCAGCGTGGAGACAGAAAAATGAACGTCCTCCCAAGACTCCTCTTTTTAGTTCAGTTTTTACCCATAAGAGTACCAGTTTCCTTTTCTAAGAGTCTGAATAACTTGATTTCTAAAGTCATCTGGCAAAATAAAAGACCTAGAATACGACTTCAAATTTTGACTACGGCAAAGGAGCTGTGGGTTGACCTGACCGAAAACATTATTATTGGGCTGTCCAGTTGACCGCAATTGTGTCTTGGCTTTGTAAAGATGAGGAAACAGGGTGGTTTAATATTGAGCAAAACGCAAGAAAGGGGACCACATGGGCAGTATTGCCTTTTACGGATCTTATATCGGTCAGCCGGCTCAAAATTGAGAATGAATGGATTAAACATACTCTTCAAGTGCGGGCCACCGTAAAAAACAGACCAGGGGGCCCAGAAACAATCTCAAGATGTATGCTGATCATGGGTCACCCAGAATCCCCCCCCCCCCCCCCTCCTTCAGATTCCAAAAATGGGCCATTAGGGGGCTTACCTTGAGATTCCAAAAATGGGCCATAATCAACTGGATGTTTGACGGCAGCATCATCAAATTGTTCGAACAACTAAAACAACAGGATGGACTTGAATCAAATGATCCAGCTATACAGATACCTCCAAATAAAACACTATTATCAGTCTCATCTAGAGAGAGCGAGTGTAAGTAGAAACCCCAACAGAGTGGACGAATATTTCATTTCTGTGGTAGAGATCGAGGGTCCAAACCATCGTTCTCAGTTTTCAAAAAGGTTCTTTCACGATACTTTATGAAACGCACTAAATCCATCCATCCATCCATTTTCCGATCCACTTATCCTCACAAGGATCGCGGGGGTGCTGGAGCCTATCCCAGCTGTCTTTGGGCAGCAGGCGGAGGACACCATGAACCGGTTGCCAGCCAATCGCAGGGCACACAGAGACGAACAACCATTTGCGCTCACACACCTAGGGACAATTTAGAGTGTTCAATCAGCCTGCCATGCATGTCTTTGGAATGTGGGCGGAAACTGGAGTACCTGGAGAAAACCCACGCAGGCCCGGGGAGAACATGCAAACTCCATACAGGGAGGTCGGAGCTGGAATTGAACTCGGTACCTCTGCACTGTGAGGTCAACGCGCTAGCCACTGGACTACCGGGCCGCCCGAAATGCACTAAATATCAAGGAAAAGTGGGAATTGGAACTGAATGCTGTAATTCAAGATGAGGTGTGGGATGAGGTGTGTAAGGACAATCACAGAGGATTAAAGAGTCAATTATGGAGAGATTTTGAGTGGAAATAGAGGTATTTTAACACTCCATAAAAGATTGCAATGTTTGTTAAGACACCCTTAAGTGATATATATATATATATTATATATTATACCGAAATGATAGAGTTGTCTGTACCTTTACAGAAGCCTGTGCTGTCCAGTCCCAAGAGGACAATCACAGAGGATTAAAGAGTCAATTATGGAGAGATTTTGAGTGGAAATAGAGGTATTTTAACACTCCATAAAAGATTGCAATGTTTGTTAAGACACCCTTAAGTGATATATATATATTATATATTATACCGAAATGATAGAGTTGTCTGTACCTTTACAGAAGCCTGTGGTGTCCAGTCCCAAGATCATCACGTCTCTGACTCTGCAAGGGGAACCAGTGTGCAACCACAAGTGAAAAAAGAGCCCAACCTTGGAGACGTTCACAGAGAGTGTATACATGATGGAAGAGACCCCGAAAAACATTGCGGTCAATTTGAGACACAACTTAAGTCACATTCGATGTTAGTTCAAACGGTGTGTAGTCGAGATACTGTCTCACCTCCTTTGCCATCCCGGGAGACAAAGACAGACTGGGACAGTGAGGGACACTTTGCAGCCAGCAGCTCATCATCCACTCACACTGTCCCTTCAGACGGCAAAGACACTCACAGTGATCCTTGTGGTACTGCTGGAAATAGCCACAAAACCACCCAGAAAGATCTCTCAGGATCGGTTGGACAGCAGGTGAAAGGACCACATTACATCAATCGAAAGCAAAGTGTCAACCTACTGCAGCTAAAACACATGAAATCCCTCAAGTCGGCCCCTTCGCGTAACTCTCACGCGACCATCCAGAGGTGGCACAGCTGTAAAGAGTGTGGAAAAGGCTTCAGCTTTGCTTGCCAGTTGGAGGTCCACATGCGTTGGCACACCAAGGAGAAGCCGTATTGCTGCACGGTGTGCCGAAAGAGCTTCACTACGGTCAGCATGCTCAAGAGACATCATCGAATCCACACTGGAGAGAAGCCCTTTCGCTGCCATGTGTGTGGCAAATGCTTCAATCAGTCTGCACACCTTAACACCCATTTTCGTCTCCACACTCGAGAACGAGCCAGCTGGAACCGAGCGCAATTTCCAAGGAACCCTCAGTGGACTGGAAACTAAATGAAATTTATGCTTCTCAGCACACCGTGTACAAAGAGCCTCTTCATCACTGTTTTCGGGTTCTCTGTGTGAAGAAAACATGTTGTGTGGTGCATTGTTTTTCTTTCAGGTCTTTTTTTCCTTTTTTTTTAAACTTTTTAAAAAAGTCCTTTTTGTGCAGCACGCATCCTGCAATTACAGCTTATTATTGCAAGAAAGGTCATGAATGTTTGGTGTATTCCACTGATTTTTTTTTAAAAATCATTCCATGTAAAAAAAAAAGACAAAGAATATAGTAATAGTGAGCCAAATTAAACAAATCTGATGTCATGATCAGCTGTAAACCAGAATCCATGGTATTGTTTATGTATATTAAACAGTGTATACTCAAAAACTGTGTGTGTGTGTGTGTGTGTGTGTGTGTGTGTGTGTGTGTGTGTGAGAGAGAGAGAGAGAGAGAGAGAGAGAGAGAGAGAGAGAGAGAGAGAGAGAGAGAGAGAGAGAGAGAGAGAGAGTTGTGCACAGATTTATCCAGTGTCCTCTCTTTAAAACATGCATGATATGTAGTTTGAAGGTTAACCTGTCCTCTATTCAGAGGCCTTTTAGTGGCGATGCATTCAGCAGCATGCATCTAAAGAAGGTTCTGTCCAAATTTTTCTCAAAACAGGACTGGTTGTCCAGGCCAGACTGTTTTTCCCTGTAGCTCCCCGAACAAGATCACGTGGTGATGTTGCAAATGCAATCTTGATGTTTACTTCCAAATATGGAAGACTATTGTTAGATTAGGACCCAAAAAGAAAAACGTAATACCGAGTTAGCAGTACAGTTCAGATCAGCTCCAGCTGCAATTGCCTTCATTTACAATTTCAAAAATGGTAAACATATCTGTATGCAGGGAGGCTGTAAGGGGGGGAAAATTAATGATTTTTGGGGCTAATGATTGAAAGCGTTCCAGTAAAATGGTATTTTAAATTTGTGGCTATGCGGTGACAGGCCCCAAGGTGTTATTTTTTTTCACTGGACCATTTGGTAACCCATGACTGGAACTAGTACCTGTCGGTCTGGGTGCTACTTTATGAGCAAGGCACATAACTTCCAAGTCACTAATTTACAGGCATTTGTGCACTCCCTGGCGGCCCGGTGGGCAAGTGGTTAGCGCGTGGACCGCCAAAACCAGTTCACAAAGGATGCCCTCCTGTTGGCTGCATTTGCCTGCAGCCGGTCATGCTCATCTCTGACTAGATTTTATTGCTTTATTGATAAAGGTAAACACTTTCCTACATCTATGGAGTGGTAGGTGTATTAACCCCTTCATGCCCCCTGTAACCTGATAACATAAGCCGTCCACTGTAGTGACCGCTGTCCCTGAAAGGGTTAATAGATGAGAAGTTTAGTTGGAAGTCACACACTAAACAAACATGATAAGTATTTCTGTCTTTTAATTTATTTATTTTTTCAGAGCATATTTGTCAGCCCCCCCCCCACACACACAACCGCCACCCTGTCGATTATCTTCTAAAAGTATATTATATGATTATGTGATTGAGAATCGTGATATTACGTGTCAAGCTGTGAGCGATGAGCATTTGTTTACTCAATTAGAACAGGTGGAAATATGCCCGACTGCAGCCAATCAGAGTCCAGCTTTACCTTCTAAATTTGATTTGCACGTTGAAGTAAAAGGCAGTCCAGTGGACCAGTGGGTAGGGCGTCGACCTCACAGTGCAGAGGTACCGGATTAAATTCCAGCTCAGGCCTCCCTGTGTGGAGTTTGCATGTTCTCCCCCGGATTGCGTGGGTTTTCTCCGGGTACTCCGGTTTCCTCCCACATTCCAAAAACATGCATGGCAGGCTGACTGAACACTCTAAATTGTCCCGAGGTGTGAGTGTGAGCGTGGATGGTTGTTCGTCTGTGTGTGCCCTGCGATTGGCTGGCAACTCTTTCAGGATGCCCCCCACCTGCTGCCCGAAGATAGCTGGGATAGGCTCCAGCACGCCCCGACTCGTGAGGATATAGCGGTTCGGAAAATGGATGGAGGGATGGATGAATTTAGCAGTTTGGCCGACAGCTTGGGTGTATAATTTGAAACAATTCATACAGCAGTAGGCCTGCTACAACATGATTCCTTTCGTCCTTTTTTTTAGGCAAAAGAAAAATTAAAAAAAAAATAAAATTTAACCACCACTTTTACCCTTAATTCGCCCAGTTTCAGCAATCAATATTTTGGACACAAGTGCACTCATTTGGACAGTCGCGCAAATCAGCACCAACGAATTTGGCACAGCGTCAGCAACTGTCCGTCGTGTGTGTTATTCGAATAATAAAAAGTACAGTATAGTGTGGTATTAGCTAGCAAACCTCATCATTTTTGACCC